AGGCACCTAGCTGAGCTCTAGTAAGGGCTAATGATTTCCTGAATTTTTAGACTGTATGCATATTTATAATATATAGTATGTCTACTATTATAATATATATATATTAGTAATAATTGTATGTATTAGAAATATATATGTGCCACTGTGATGAGGAATCCTTTGGTACAATGCTTCTTAGATTAGGCAACAAAAAACAAAGGATCTTGCTAACAAGCAGCACAAACAGACAACACATGCCCATACCCTGGCACCTTTTTATTTATTAATATCAATTCAGCATCTTTGCAGAAAGATACTTCAAGATGCATTGGAAAGGAAGACATCTTGAATAAAGCATAACTGACATGACCCTGGCAGAGGTAATGCTAAGTAATTGCTGTTATGAATATGAGGCTCTACAGAATTGCTTCTTCATGGTCATACAGCACTGAGAAATTATTCTTGCAGGCTTGAGTTTTCTGCATTCAGGTCAGACAGGAATCTCAGAGCAACTGCACAAACATGGCTGCACCAGGGGTGTAGATGAGCCTCTGTTTTTTTGTGTATTTGGTAAAGTTGTGCAAAACTCAGCAGTTTTCAGGCTCACTGGCAGCTTCTTTGAAGTTTTCCCCTGTTCTAAGCTGTGTATGAAGTTGAGTTTGGAGTTTGAGCAAACCCAGCATTTCTGAGCCCTTCATGGGGACTGTCCTGTGCTTCAGATGAGACACACGCTTAAAGATCTTGAAGAACTGGGACTTGGTGGGAAAATATCAGAGAGAACTGTGAGCTTAAAGTTTTAAAACTGATTTTGCTCATATTTGACCTGTGCCAGCCTGTGAACCCTAGTCAATTATTAATGTTAAGCAAGAAACATTGCAAGCAAGTAGAGATCATGATTCCACATTTACCAGAGGCAATTTATTCCTAAAAAACACTTTCTTTTACCCTAAAGTAGTAGATGTTGGATTCTAATAGGTATCAGATTTTATAGCCCTTTAGAAAGGGCCTAACAAAGGTTGTTCTGATAACGTATATTTATGTGATTTCTCTCACTTTTTTCCTGATCACAAAAGTTCTGTTTCTTTCTGGCATCATATGGCATAAGCATATAAGTATATGTATAAAATCTCAACATTTCATATTGTTGGGAACAACTTTTGGTGCTTGAAGACAGAATTTCTTAACCTCTTCTTGTGATGGTAAATCTATATGAAACTTTATGGGATTACTGATGGTCTTGTGATCAAAATCCAGATCATATTGAATAATGGCTGGAAAACACAAAGTCATGCTAAAATATTCAAAGTCCTTCATCAGAGGTTCTTGTTTAAGTCTACAGACTGCCTTTCCCAAAAGTAATTGTAATCTCAGTCTAGAGATTTATACATCACTGACATAGAGAATTTATTGTGATTAATCCTACAGTTCTGGAACACAGATAGAAATGAAGATGAAAAATTCGTTGTTGAAAAAGCATATCATGAAATTTATAATGTTTTTATGTAGTTCCTCATTCAGATTTATACTTTTTTTTTTTTTTTTTTTTTTTTTTTGGGCAGAGCACTAACAACTCCTGGCTATTTTGGTCATAAATAAGACTAATTTTGTGTGCGTAGTCAGAATCAGTCACTTATTAGGACAGTCCAAATAATCTCTAATTATTGTAGGCATTATCAGAGTATTCGAGTATTCAACAGTGAATATGGTGAAGGTGTCAAATATTTCTCTGACATACAGTTGCAAAACTATCTATAGACACAAATGCTTCATATGTGTTTCTAATTCACTGTAATCAATAAGGACAACATGTTCTTTCAGAAATCTAGTTTTAGATGAAGGCCTATGATCAGGGATGTGGAGGCCAATGCATGTTGAAGATTTGAATTCTTAGCTTGCTGTTAGGTTGACACTGCTGACATTTTTTAAAGAAACCTTTCCCTTCAGGTGTACAATGACAAACAGCTCCTTATGCTTGTAGCCAGTAGGAGGCTGTGCTACACCTAAGACAGCAGTGCCTGCTGTTCCTAGGTTACAAGGACCTTCTCCTTGCACATGAGTTTCTCCCTCATCTCTCATCCTCAACTAATCCTCAACAGCAAACGTCCTGTGACAGGGCTTGGCTCAGTCTGAGGATCATCCCGCAGAGAATGACAGACAAACCAAGCGATCACTGAAGAGGAATCTCTGTTGACTCAGAAAATAATCAGTTCTCCTTGAAAACATATGAGTTAAATTCTCACATCTTCTCTGCCATCTGAGACAGGTTTATTTGCCTTCTGTGATATTTAATCAAGAAGGCAAGTTGTGGTAGAGTGATAGACAACGAAGCTCTGAAGACTGCCACAAGTAGGAGATGAGAATCGTTGTTTTTTTTTTTGGCTCACACTAAATTTAGGTATTTACAATATAAGCGAGTATACATGTGTACCGTTTGGCTCAGATCCCAAGATCTAGACTAGACTTATCAGTCAATGGAGTTTAGAGATAAATTTGTCATATGGTAGATGTTTATGTTTATGAATTGCACTGCAGATTCCAATGGCTGAAATAAGATCCCTATGGACAATGGCAGGAGGTTATACACCTGGCTGAAATAGAGACGCACATGTCAATGAGTAGAGTTAGAGGTCTGGTTCAGCAGTTGGACGTGACTTCAAGTTCTGTGCAATAGATGGAAAAAGTACATGGTCTCAGCTCAGCCTATGGGTCTGGCAGCACTCAGCATTTCCCAGGCACACATTTGAGAGACAGCAGTCCTATTTAAGCCCAGGGAAGCATCTGTGAAGGATCAAGACCTCTACTTTTCCAGATACCCATCTACAGTCCAATGCTTATTGCCTATAGCAGGTATAAAAGAAAGTACTGACTGATCCAAGAAGCACATACAGAAGCCTTGTACTCCAACCCACTGAAGTCAGGCAGAGAAAGAAGGATGGAAGCTGTACCAGTTGACAGCAGTTGTAGCTGAAGCTGCCAGCATTTTACCCCTATTGCCATTTCTTTGAACATAGGAATCCCTGGCGATTAGGTATCCTCTATCCTACTTTCTCTGTGTGCATGTAATGGGCCTGCAGAAAAGAAGGCTGTGGTGTGACCTCATTGCAGCCTTTCAGTGCCTAAAGGGAGCCTACAGACAAGAGGGGAATTGACTCTTCGAAAGGGTTGATAACAGAAGGATAAGGGGAAATGGATTTAAGTTGAGGGAAGGGTGATTTAGGTTTGATGTCAGGGGGAAATTCTTTACAGAGTGGTGAGGTGCTGGAACAGCTGCCCAGAGAGGCTGTGATGCTCCGTCCATCCCAGGAGGTGTTCAAGGCCAGGTTGGATGGGGCCCTGAGCAGCCTGGGCTGCTATGAAATGTGGAGGTTGGTGGCCCTGCATGGCACAGGGGGGTTGGAGCTTCATGATCCTTGAGGTCCCTTCCAACCCGGGCCATTCTGTGATTCTGTGATTCTGTGAATCTTTGAATTAACTATTTTTCCACAAGCTTAGGTAACTCATTAAGATCCTTCTTTGAACATTCTGTCTAAATAAGTATGTTTTCTTTAACATGCAAGTGTATTTAAGTGTTTTGGAATAAAAGAGAAAGTATGCATAGAGGTAGGCAGTGTGTGCCTGTGTGTGCACATCACTGCATAAGAATAAAATTGAGGTTGTCTTAGTGTGTTCATATATGAATAGGGCAAACACAGCTCTATGCAAGCGTAAAAATGAATGTGTATATTTGTGGACCAGGCATTACCCCAGCCTTCTAGCCTTGATGAAACACATAGGTAGAAGAAGTGGATGTTTTGGATGCCATTCAAAGCCTGAGGGACTAAAAATTAGGCACCATATCACCTAGCTGGTAGGTTTCTGATGTTCTATCAGAATCTTAATAACTAAAAGATGTTGGAATACTGGGGCATAGAAGCTATCTGCCCATCCAATGAACGAAGTGTATCCCATCTCACTGCACTAAAGAATATGCAAGATCAACCTGGAGTTTTATAGTATTAAAAAACCTGCTTAATATTTTGGTTTACAAACTGCCATATACTCTTCTCTGTGATCCAAGCAATGGCAGAAGAACCTCTAGGATATTTCATCACATATCTTTGATAAATCTCTTAGATAATCTCACTACTTCAGCATAGCCCTATGGAAAGGCTTTTACCATCACTTGTGTATCTAGCACACAACATAAAGTGAAAACATGAAAATGTGCAGTAACACCTGGGCTAACAAATCGTGCAAATCGTATGCTGTCTACATGCTTCTATCCATAATTTGGATAAAATTCCAATGAAGTGTGCCATTGGAGTTCATATACAGCAAATCTTCAGCTTCTTAGCTTCTTAGGCTGTCACAAGAACTGATCTATGTATGTCTACATGTTTATAGCACTCTCTGGCACAGTTTAGGTCTGGGCAAACTTCCATTCTATCAGACCATTCCAAGGTGCTGTTCAGGAGCCTGTATAGCAAGACCATTCCCAGCGAACAGTGTGCTTTGAGGCCAGTGTGGTTTGGAGGCTGAAGTATGTATAAGATATATAGAATAGGATGATCGCAGTGACATAATCTCAAATGGATTTACAAGCATAGACGAAGCACTGGGACAATTTAGAAAATTAATAAGGATGCAGCTGAATTGTTCCTCTATTCATTGGTATTTTAATTCATCTATATAGCCAATGCAGCTGAGAATGTGTATTTCCACACTTGTGGACCATCTTCATTCTCTCTTGATTTAGCTTGTGATTTGGTTCACATCTAGAGATAAGGATATTGGGCCAGTAGATATTGAAAATGACTGACTCACTTACCCTTGCAGTAGGGTGAATACAACCAGCTGGAGGTACTTTGCTGGGTAAGTATAAGCTTCTAGCAGGCACAGATAACAAACAGAATATAGACAATACTGCAGTCCGTATGTAGACATATAGACTTAAGTAAGGAAACAAATACAGTTATATCTTCATACGTAGTATTTACAAAAATGACATATTTTGGGTAATTGATCTTCTTTTAAAATCATACCTGAAATGTGTTAAATGTCTCTGGATGTCAAGGTCTAGTATTGGAGTCGGTCTGGAGGATCCAAGGGGTGACCTGTCTTGACTGAGAAGGTCTTGGAATTCTTTACATATTTGTCTAAAAGGAAAGCAAATAACCTTAAATGAGGTAGGGCTAACTTTATGAAATGGTGATCCCCATAACTGCCACTTTATACTGGGTGATCTCATTTGTAACAAATGCTTGGCAGAGGTAGTGTTAAAGAAGTTAAAGACAAATTAATCTTCCTTCACCTCCTTGTCCCAAATTCCCAGAGCAGGCAACATATAGAATCTCTTGAAGAGGAATAATTCATCTCTGAAACCATGCTAGGATTAATATATACTATTAATGAAGACTGCTGGTAGGTAGGACCTATGATCCCAGTTTCAGCATCTTGCAATGGGAGCTCAGGATATGTCTTGCCTGACCTCCCAGCAGTCTAAGGTCTTTAAAAAGGATAGTAAGTCTATCTTCCCTCTACCTCCTTCTCAAGATACCTCAGCACTAGGGATATCCTTATATAGGACCTAACAATAAAATATTTTAATACTTGTGATATTATTTTATTGGGCTAACTTGTCAATTACTCAATGCATGTGCTATTAATTCATTATAAAAGAGAAAAGGAAGGAAGAAAGGAGGCTGATCCATGCCCTCAGAAGAATGCTATCGGGACCTTGGATGGCAAGAAGTCACTTCCTTTCAATTGGTTTATGATACAGTTCAGTAGGCTAAAAAAGGAGAGATGTCCAAATGTCTGTCTCAAGACTTCTTTGATTGGCCCCTTTCCCACTGAGTGTATCAGGAATACAGGTACTTAACACGAATTCAGAAGGGGCACAGTGTCCTCCAGATAATCTGGACACTCAGCTATTGCCTGATACTAGCTTAATACTCAGCTGGTTTGTGCTTACTATGCCTAAACTAGTAAACTAAATGTTGCTAGGGGTTGTTCTCACATCCTCTGACCCACTGGCATTATCAGATAAGGTTCATATGATTTTGCTCCTAAAGAATGTGACTGCATCAAAACAAATTCCTGAAAATGGATGCTGGTGTAGATTGTCTCCCACAACATGCACAGAAGATACTGCAAAGATCAAAGAAGCAGTTTAACAGTTTAATAATACATTATTAAATCTCAACTTATGCCACAGGGTGTGCATCACTTACTTTGTGTCTGAGCCCATGTTTTAATACCGAAGAGAACCTCTGCGGTATGATTTCTGCTAGCATACATTTGCTTTGCATATCTGATCCTACATAGAGTTGAAGTTCTTCATCACGACCTTGTAATGGTTGTCCTTTGGGCCAGAGACATAACAGAAATTAAGCAGGTAGTCTCAGCTTTTTGTTCTTTATCATGTTTCTCCTTGGCCCTGTTACAAGTAAGGAAAGTCTGCTAACTTGTTTTTACTCTTCATTATATCGCTGTTCTACCAGATTTGAACACAGACAAAGCACGGCTATATCCTAAGAGGAGAGGGAATGCAGAAAGCTATTTCCCACTGTGACACTGGACTTCATCCAATCCTGATTTCTCTAAACACTTGTCATCAGCATGGACTCAGACACTGCTTGAAAAGACAGCATCGTCTTAGCCTTTCAGGCAAAGAGATGTATTCAGCAGAAATGTATGTAAATGTGGCATACAGTTTTAATGAATCAGATCCTTAGAGGAAAAACAGTTCCTTTCAACAACTGAAAACAGTCAGTCATTTTGGCTTCTAAACAATCTGCTATCCCCAGTCGGCCCTGTCAACACCGTTCCTCTCTCCTTCCTCCAACCTCTACTTTCTACCTGTTGAAAAAGTTCATCTTACAAGTTCTTATATTTTGACAAAGAGAAGTGTCAGAACCAAGTGTGCAATTAAGTTCCCTTCCATCTTCACATGTCAAAAGTCTTTACTGAGTGTTGCAGATTGAAAGAAAAGAAGAAAAGTTTTTTATTATACATGAAAACCTTTAAAAGGCAGTAACCTACTTTTGCAAGGGGATTTTTACTCAACGTGGAGTCTCAGTGCCTCCACTACCAACAAAACATTACCTGGGTAGTGACAGGGAGAAGGGATGACAGTTGTGTACCATGATCGACTGTGACTTTGCATGAAGAAAGAAAGATGATTAGAGATTAGCTGTGTCAAGATTCTCAGCTAAAAAAATAAAAAAAAATAAAAATAAAAATAAACAAGGTAGAGAATCCTGGACACTTCTGCAAGGGAGGCAACTAATGATTTGTGATAGATTGGATGGTCTGGTATATGATCAGAAAAAGGTAAAAAAAAATCTGTGCTGGGTCAGACCAAGAGCTCATCTAGCTCATGATTCTGTCCCTAACAAGCTTATCCTTTCAGTTCCTAGTCAGAGTGCTTCATTCTGCCTTTGCTGTCACTTGTGTTCTGTGCTGCATATTGGCTACAGAGTCCATCTCTTCTTCCCACGATAATTGTCAGCTAGGGCTCTGAGTTTTCATTGTCTAGACCATCAGATTGTTAGAATAGGCCATAGCAATACCTTGTTGCATCAAGTAGCACTGTCCTAAGCAGATCCTGGTGAGCAAATGTGAAGAATCATTTTTGAGAGGTAGTTTTAGAAGGTCAAGTAGTTTAGCAGGATGGACAGAGCCATTAAAGTGGCTGTTCTGTGGAAGAACAGGCCACTAAAAATGGTCTGTTCCATAGCAGAAGATATTCCTGATCTCATTCATTGTACTACTATCAATATAGCCTCGGATCAGGTAGAAATTAGTGGGTTGGTGAACTGAGTTACTTCAGGTTTGGTGCCCTGCCTGGGTTAAGGAGGGCTATTGGTGTCCAAAGAAGCAATCTGTAGTCTTTATTAGCACATGGATCACAGTTCTGTACATGGAAGAGATGCATCTGCTCAGGATGGACGGGCTGCATGATTGCAAGATATAGATGCTCTTGATAACACATAGAGATTCTACCAGACAATGGGGATTTCTACATTGCAGTTATCAAGGGCTCTATTTAGATGCTCACATATGGATATGTAGTATGTAAGACGTCCATAAGAGATAGAAAATGCAATACAGTAATGAAAAGATGCTTATGAACTTTTTGGAGCAGCTGCTTGTTACTAAGCTGGATTACCAGTTTATCTCAAATGATTGTAGGTACCAGTGCTTGGGCAAGCTAACCCAAATCTCCAAAGTTGAATGTCTGAATCCAGCACAGAATTCCACCTATATACCAGGAATTGCAGAAATAATTTTGTTATTTCCCCTTATTTTTCCTTAAAAATCCAAATGTAGAAGATCTAGCCAGTTCTGCCAAAGGAATGCTTTTATGGCTCTGTCTCAATTGAGACAGTGGCAACACATACGGAAAGTGGCACTCAATTTATTTTCATAGGCAAAATTTATTTTGAATGATTTTACCACCTTGTAATTCCATTTTCATTTTTGTTAAAGGAAGAACAATTGACTCCATTTTCAAGTACCTTCACTTGCAAGCACGAGGCAGTGGTTATGAATTTAATGATATTATAAGCCTAGATCTTATGTACGTAGGTTGAATAATATACACTTATGTCAAATAACAAGGCTGCTTGCTATCAGATACGTGGAAGTATGGCTGGGAAATGCCAAGCTAGTAATAGGAAGTCATGGAACTGTGTGTCCTGCACTATCGGGGGCTGGTCTGTGCAGCTCTGTTCCCCATCCAGACAGGAGAGGGCAGTAGTAGCTCACACATTGACCCATCGGTCCCTATTAGCAAGTGCTCTGACTACAGCAGGTTCTGTCCTGGCCTTCGATTGCCGACAGAGCACTGATCAGTTTGCTCGTACTGATTAAAAGAGAGAGAAAAAAAAAAAAAAAAAAAAAAAAAAAAAAAAAAAAAAAAAAAAAAAGACCTTTTTTTCTTTACTAGTGCAGAATAAGCCTACAAGCATAAAGTTCATAGAGTTTTGGAATAACGGATGTCCATGACTCCCTGTCTCAAGAGTAAAGGAGGATGGGAGAGTAGACAAGGAGTGATGAGAAAGAGTAATCAGAGTATTGTCCCTCAGTGGAGGAAGGACATGACAGTCATCTGATTATTGCAATCTGCAGCAAAATGTATATCTCTCTAGAGCCAGAAAAGAGAGAAAAAGTTGAACGATGTTTTATACGTTGGGCAAACCCTTGAGCTAGGGCAATTTACATTCTTAACTCTTGTTTGTATGGTGAAGAGTGGTATGTCCAGTCCTTACAAAGTTACAGGGTGCAGATTGTTGATGGGCTATGTATCAATGGAGAGACACAGCTTGCAGAGAGGAACTACTTTTCTCTAGCTGTTTTCGTGTCTCTGAAAGCCCCTGGGCGCTAAAAAATGTATGTAAGTAAGAGTAAGATTATATTTCTCTTTTATTATTCCTTTTAACCAACTTAGGAACATGATTTAAGAGGTGTCCTCAACTTCACACCTGGTAAATTTCCCCGTATCACATGGTACTCTACTTTGAGGATCATAATCTGCAGTTGTGGCATTCAAAAGCCTGGGAGGTTTCAATGCATGTCACGTCTGTGTCACCTTCAGGATGAAGATCTCTGGACACAAGAGTCACAAAAGCCATACGTTCTGTTCCCCACAGACAGACCACACATAGGGACATTAAGATGAGAGGGACAATCCTGTGACTGGTCATCTCTCACCCCTAATGCAGGGCAATTCCTCTGTGTTGGATATATCTCAGCCTGAATCATTCCTATCTTTCCTGTGGGAAAGAGATTTACAGTATCTTGGCTTCTGGACTCAGCTCCCCTACTGTATCCCTGTGTAATACTGCAGCAAGCTCAGGAGGAGTATGACTATACTCAAGGCCACCCCATGCAAGTATATCACACACCTAGTGTAGGTCTAACTTATGCCATGCAGACTATTTATTCCAATTTCCTGTGGCTCACAAAGCCTAATTCCTCCTTCCTCAAGGCTAATTAACCCAGATAAAATGTTATCCTAACATGATGTTGCTGCTCCAGGGAGGTGAGTGGCTTGTTTTGAGTAAAGCCTGGTGTTTCTGAGTGTCTTTAATGGTTTTAGCAAAGCTCCCCTGCTGGTATACATTGTTCCAGTGCCTTTGACTTCAGGGAAATCTTACAACCAAAGAGGATCTGCCCCTCTGCAAACACTCCCTCATCAGACTAACGTTAGTTATCTAAGAGAAAGTAGTAGTTCAGCAGAAGCTTAGATCTCCTGCTCACACATCCTTGTTTTTGCTGTTGTACAAGCAGGAGGCAAAGCCAAGCTCTTACCATGTGATAGCATTCTCTCTGTGTTCCCAAATCACATCATTTTAGTATGGGAAGATGTACATTTCCCTAACTGCAGGCAAGGAGAATGCCACCACTAAAACCTTCTCATGGTAAACAAGCATTTTACAGCACCTCTGCTGAAGCTTGCTCTCCTTTTCTGGCACTGAGCAGTTGTGATGGCAGTCACCACAATCTCAGATCTTTATTCCCACTCCTCCCTCTTCCAGCCCCCAGATTCAAAATGGAAAAACAACAGACAGATTTAATTGATATTATTCCCCCTTCTTACTTTGTTGCTAGGATCATCTTTTTCCTTGCTGTCTGCTCTTTCTGTTCCATGTGCTGTCTGGCAATGTGCTCTCCTACTGCCTTGGCAGGGAATTCTGTTTCACAGGTGTAGCCGAAATCTCTGGCCAAATGTAATGCTTCCCCTGTGGGTAAACAAAACAGGTCAGTCCGTTTTTAGGATTTTAGTTTCCTTATACAATTTCTACCATTATTATAAATTAATAAAATAACAAGACACTTTTAGAGACACCCGTTTCCAATCTCTGTTACTGATTTCTGTCCATTCCAACTGTTTGTGCTTTATCATCAGATGGTGACAGGCAGAAGGTAGGAAGGATGCTCCTGTTACGAGAAAATACTAGTCAAGACTCTTGGGTTTGACTACCTCCCTTGTCAATAGAACACTGGGTAGCTGTGAAAGTTTTGTAAACTCATCTCATCAATATTTAAGGTGTGAAAATTGGCGAGGAGTGAGAATAAAACTTTTGGAAGAGCCAGGATTCAACCCCGACACTTCACTTTTCTACTTCTGAACAAAGAATAGCCTTCTACCTCAAGGTAGATCTGTGGAAATAGTATCCATTTCAGCATATTTTCTTGGAGTTAAATCAGCAAGCACAGTGCCTATGCCCCACAATGGAGTACAACAGAAATAATAATCCCGTTTCCAGAAAATAGACCAGACAAAATAAAAAGGGAAGACAATGAAGATCACAACTGATATTTTGTTGGTAGGTGTAAAACACCTTGACTAGGCTTTATGAGAAGTCTGTGACAAAGTAGGCACTGAATATCTCCCTGCATCAGCTATAAAACCTGGACTTTCAACTCCAAGCTGGATGCCAAATGCCTCTGGAAGCATCTGTCCCACTCTACTAAGTCAGAGAACCCAAAAATAGATTTTATGATTTACCAAATGCTCCGTGATCTGCATGCTGGGCCTCTGACAACCCTGGCATGAGATTTAGCTGATCAAACACAGCTGACTGACGTGTGAACATCTGTGCCTAAGTTAGTCTTTTCCTGGTGGGAAATAGGTACTTTGAGATCATGTTTGCTCTTGTCTCGAAGTAGAAGGCAGAAACAGGTCAGCTACCAGAAGGGTGTGCTGAAGCACATCTGTATAAATGACTAACAGGGTTGTGCTCCAGAATAACTTTGGGGTTAGGGCTTTTTCTGATCCATTTGTTTTCTGGGGTGTGTACTTGAGTGCCATCATGAACGGTGACATTGGACCCTGGCCCTTAGGAGATCATGCTGATGCCTCAGATGGACAATTAGGAGGGAGGCAAGACCTGCCACAACTTCTTTTGAGAATCCTTGCAGTGAGATTAATGAAACTAAAAGAGAATATTGGTGTCTTAGCTAAAACTCTACAGTCAATAGGTAGAAACTAGCACTTGAAGAACATACCCTGCATCAAAGTAGAAGGCAAATGAATCATTTAATTTATTGAAAAGACAAGGTTAGATGGCAGTTATGGAGATCTCCTGTTTTTGAAAGCAAGGCTTTAGATAAGGTTATTCAGGGCCTTTTCCTGCCTAGGCTTGAATATTTCCAACCATGGAGATTCCACAACTTTTCTAAGCAATTTAATTCAGTATTATTAACTTATTTTAGTTCATTTGTTAATCACCACAAAATACTGATTTCTCCCCACTGACTACAATGGGACAATGAGAAGATATTCCAATAGAGATGATGAGGGGAAACAAGTCCTCTCCTCAGCAAAACTAAGTTTGCTCTGTACTGACCACACAAAGTCAAGGAAGATGGAAAATTTGATGGGAGAAGTGGTTTTGTGTTGCAGGCAGCACAAGGTGTAATGGACCACAGGCATTGATCACTATTCTCCACCTATTTTAAGGTTTATGATGTTCCATTCTATCATTGGAGATTTTATAGGAGCTTTACAAAAAAAAAAAAAAATATTGTTTTCATAAGGAAATACTTGATTATGTGTATATTTGACTTAATTGGACTCGGATACCGATACATGTAATACTTCCAGGCAACTTGTTTGCTGACACCAGTCAACAACTACCTTCTCAGATGTAAATGATTTTATATGCAAAAGTTGAAAATAACTCATAGATTTTCAGTATCTCTGAGAAGAATAAGAAGTTAGCAACCAACTCTGGGTTGGAAAGACAAATTGTTTCTACTTGGCTTACATATTCTGGAAACTTTTCTGAAGCCAAACAATTTTCAGTGAAAATAAGATGGATTTTAACAGTGAGTCAGAATGAAGTGGCGTATAATACAACCTGACTTGTTTCTAAGACATCCATCCTTCAGTTCACCATAAGTGAGAAAGGGTAAAAATTTCAGCCGTAACTTCTAAACTTTTATTGAAGGGCATCAAAATTTCTGTTTTATTACTCCGTTCTGTCCCTTAAATAAATGCTTAAGGACTAAATCAACAGCAGAAGCACAATTAAGTGCAAAATCGGATTTTGCTTTTCAGCAAAACTCCATTAAAACACTTGACAGGTTTGTTTTCATGTCAGCGTAGAAAGAAGACAAAAATCAAACCCTTTGAAGCTGTCATCAGGTGGAATTGCCATTCTCCAGACAGCTCTATTTTGATACAAGTTAGACTCAACTAATGACACATAGAATGTAGTCAGCAAAGCCATTGGAAAGAAAAACTTGCTTTCTTCAAGAAAACCAAATTTTATGTGATAAAATGTCAGCATTTATTTAACATGTTCAGCAGTAAACCAACTGAAATTTGAATGTTTTCACATAACGTCAAAAAAGAAGGAAAAGAAAACATGACCTGCCATTAAGACAAATTCTTCCAGAGATGGTGTATGTAATTTACTAGAGTTGAAAATACATAAGTGATTAGATAATATTAGAAAATTATATAAAATTATAGGACTTGCCCTTTGTGTCGGTAGCTGAGATTGTGACTGTAACTTGGCTGCTGTAGCATGTAAAGAGAAACAGTCAAGAGCAAAAAGGAACTGTAAAGGATTTACGCATCAGCGATGCACATAGGTAGGAAAAAAAATTTGGCTGCAGAAGTGATTGTGTGAACAAAATAAGTCCGCAAATAGTTTAAAGATTTTTAAATGTTATTTTTCTTAGTGGAAAGGGAAAACTGATGTAGATTATGAATGTAAATTATAACACTATTTAACTTCACATATAAGCACATACTTCCATGCGACGTATGGAATCAGCATTCTAAATTACAACGTAAAATTCCAGATAAAACTACAAATCCAGACATGGAAACAATGTACTGAACATGATTTATCATACTTCACAGTCGAGGCAATATGTCATTTTTGAACTTGAACTAAATAACAGGGTATTTAGAAGTGGGTTAGAAGTGGGTTGTGATGTACTTCTGTTCATAAATGTGCATGTTCAATCTCAGTGAATGGAAGTCTCTTGCATTAATCCGCAGTAAAAAAAATAAGTCTGTGGAAAGTGGTTTGCCCAAAATGTCGTGGAATGCATTCTTTCCATTTCTACATCAAAATTTTGATAAACATTCACTATAGGGGAGAAAGTGGAAATGCTGGAAATGTGAACGAAGCAATTTCTCTGCCTTCACCTTAGGTTTGGAAGCATCCCTGGAGGCTTTCAAGGCCAGGCTGGATGTGGCTCTGGGCAGCCTGGTCTGCTCGTTGGCGATCCTGCACATATCAGGGGGTTGATGAGCATTGTCGTCCTTTTCAACCCAGGCCATTCTATGATTCTCTGATTCTCTGATTCTCTGGTTCTCTGGTTCTCTGATTCTCTGATTCTACGATTCTATGATCCTATGCTTTGCTTTACTCTGCTTTGCTATTACTTATGTCAGGAAGGAGGTAGAAACCCCTAGAATTCCTGGCAGTTACAACAAATTGCTTTGTTTCAACCTAAAATCATATTTCTCTGTGCAATATCTCAATCACTTTCCTTCCACAGAGACAAAGAATGGGTGCTGAGGATCAGTGGCTTTTTCTACTTAAATCCAGCCCACAGCTTTGTACATATAATTTTGTAATTTGACAATTGACCAGAGAGCTTTGCATGATGGAAAAGGACAGTTACCAAAGATTAATTGGCAGAGACAGCTCTGGAAAGCCTCAGCAGAGGGACCAGCCTGCGTACCTTGACAGGCTTCTGCAGGCAGGTGCAAGGAGCAGCGGGAGCCTCTCCTGGGTCTGGCAAGACTGAGAGATGCTCCAATGCAGAGTGAAGGCAAGAAGAAGTGTCCCAGGAGAGGGACATTTGGCATCTGAACCTCCTGTTCTCTCTTCAGCTTCAGCTCCTCCAGATAGCAGAGATGCTACCCAAGGGGGAGGAGGGACAAGCAGAAGGTGGAGTGAACAGATTTTTTTTCAGTTTGGAGGATGAGAAGGGAGGAATTACAAGTGGAAGGATATTAAAACAAAGGCTGATGGAGGAGAAGTGTGGCAGTTGCTAGTAGGGTGAAAAAAGTAAACAGTGACCTATTTTTCTCAAGAGTTTTGGTCCCCAGATGATAAACGTAGTCAATTCTGTATTGAGTGAATGTAGTGTTTCAATTAGACTTGTCGTAAAAAGAATTCCAGATTTTGTCATAAATACTTTTTTATGACATTTGTATGAAATTCTGTTGTTTTAAAATCCATTCATGTATTTCTTTATCTGCATCTGCAGCCACATTTATGCTGTCTCTGCCTTATGAACGACCTGTCCAAGCGGATGGGGATATCTCCCATCTTCTCACATCCTTCCTTATTCTCACTGGGGATACTTTTGACTCCCTTGAGCTAGCAGTAACGCTTAGCCTAAGCAACGTTTATGCTTAATGGAGAAGCCTTTATTGCACTGGCTGAAGTGTAGGATTTTTAACATGTTTATTTGTCTGTTAGTTTAAGAGCTGGTTGGAAAAATGGCCTTTCCCTTCATCTAACTTAGGCACTAGAGGGCATTCCCGACATACAGGTTGCACAAAGCTTTGCCCAATTCCACTGCTGCAATGCTATGTTCTGTCTCCCAGTCTTCCTTTCCACACATTGTGCTGATCTATTTGGATGACAACATAGAGAACAGATCTGGTTTGTCAAGCTGTTTATACTTTGAGCCCAGAATTTCTTGCCAAGGACAATAAAGGTGCAACCTGATCAATGCAGCAGCAACACCAAATAGCCATCAGCCACTCTGAACCAAAAGAGAAGCAGATTTGTAGAAAGGAAAATTTAAAAACAAAATGAAAAACAGAATAGTTTTCATAAAACCTGGATCTTCAGATGGCCCCCACAGCCTAGAAATCTCTGGTGAACTTAGATTTCCCCAGATTACAGTGATTTTATTTTATTTTAGACAAAGAGGAGTCTTAGTTTTGTCAGAGGCTTTTGAGATATCTTTGGACAATATATGCAGTAACCATACAGCTAGCTTTGCCTCTTTTTAGCTCTACTTGGTACTCAGGAGGTCAAGCACATTCTTACCCTGTGGGATATCAATGCCAGCAATACAGTGAAGACTATGAAAACCTAATCAGTTTTAGTTAAAGAATCTTAAAACCATCTACCCTAATCAAGAACGACAGTCCTGAATCTATATGAGAAATCCACACTGTCCACCAGGTATCTGGGGAATCAATAAGGCTGAAAAATTATGATGTCAATTTCTGCATTAACATCACACACTGAAAGCCAATGCTGTTTATTTCATGACCTCTAAAAACTGTAGTGAGCTTATGCGTTTCCATTTCTGCCTCATCCAGCCCCAAATTATAGCATCTTGGAAGTGACATCTGCATTGACAGAGGGAGGATATCTTATCCCACATAGAATTCGACCATACTGCAGATTTTGACCAAAGGTTATTTGCACAGAAAATGAGCTTCAAATTGATTTCTGTTAGAACATGAACATACATGGCAGTATCTTTCCCAAAAATTCCACTTGATAGCATTGATGCTTAGCATATTGAAGCAAGATGGACAGTGTCAAAGTGAAATCTGTCTCCTCAGTATAAATCTTTAGGACTCAGAATCTCACAGTAGAACAGTACAAGAACAGAAGCAATAGCTCAGAATCAAGAATAGGTTTGAAATTGGCTATGAGCAAAAGGCAGGGAAGAAAACTTATTTTTATCCCTGGGAAAAAAGGGATCTAACTGTGATTTACAGTAAAAATACATTACCATCAATTGCTGGCCAGCAATTGAAAGATTTCCTCCCTCTCCACTTCTTCTAATGAGTGAGTAACTGGCTACATAACTCTTTTTATTCTTCCCTGCTAAGACCCAAGAGTCACTGAGGACTCAGCTCTTACTCTCCTGTACTGGTATCTTTCATAAGACTGCAGCTTAATTACGTCTTTATTACAGAAAAGTGTAATATCAACATATCTATATTTCTGAACAGCCTTGCTGTTTTTTTATGTGCTCAGTGGCCCATGGAGATCTCAGATCTTCTCTTAGATTCTGAAAAAAATCTCCCTGGATGTGGATTCAGTATTTTTTTCTGTCTTGTGGAGTCTCCATTCTTGCAGATATTCAAAATCTTGACTAGACAAGGTCCTAAGCAACCTTCCCAGTTTGACACTGCTTTGAGCAAAAGGGTTGAATTAGAAGATCACCAGAGGTCCCTTACAGTCTCAGCCTCTCAGTAGTTCTGTGATTCTGTGGTAATACATGCTGAGACCTCATTCTACTTGCCTAGATCTGTATGGACTTTTCAGGTTATAATCCTGGAAGGTGATGACCTTTAGGATGAGCTGAGTGCTCTCCACATCAAGGAAGAGGGATCTGAAATTCCCAGAGCTGCTCCTTGCAGCCAGACAACAAACTGAGTATTTAGTGGATTCACCCGGAATAGAAGAGATTCGGGGAGAGTTTCCTCCCTTTGCCTGAGGGGTTTGAACCTGCCTCTCCCAGCTGAATGTTCGAAGACCCCGTCAGTATTTGGTGAATGGTATTTAAACAACAAATAAAAGCCAAGAAAATATCTCCTGGGTCTGTCTATAATTTATCTGGGGAAAAAAAAGAAAAGAAAAAGAGAAAAAAAAAAAGAATTTGTTCATTTGTGTATGGGAGGAAAAGGGTTGTCTGAATAATATGCTTCTTATGGGAGTAAAAATATCACGTCTTTGAATCAGCTCCAGGAAATTCACAAGAAGGATAAACAAACCTACTTGCAGAGCTGGTATAAGACATTCATCTCTCTCACATGAGCACTTGGATCATCGATTAGTAAGTCAGATCCCAGTACAAAAAGCGCAGATCAATGCTGAGGAAACTTCATGACCAAACAAATTGCTGGGAGCCAAGACATCTCAGAGCAAACTTCCATGTTGCCTCTGGTTCTGTCTGTGGCTTTGGGCAAGTCAGTTCTCCTCTTTGTACAGAATACAGATTATGATATTTGACATAGTGGATGAAACATGTTTTAATACAAGACATTCAAATTACATTTATACTATATCGCAGAATTATAAAATCTACCTTCTACCAAGGAAGTCAGGAGTGTGACATTTGCTGCTTTTCTTCTTCCTGCAGGTAAATTCAGTCCCAGTCTGTCTAATTTTTCTCTCAGGCAACGTCCTCCGTTCTTAGATTTTGCTCTGTCAGGAGAGAGAAACTCATATTTACTGTGTTCTTTCTTCATCTACAAATGGTATGCACCTTCTTGGCAAATGTGTGGAGTAATGCTAGCTCTGATTACATTGATGGGAAATCTGTCAGAGTTGTGTTGTTCACTGTGTACTCACACTGTGTGAGTTTTTCAGGTTTATATTTTAAAAGTTAAGTATTTTAATGCCTGTCACAGGGGCATCAGATCTTCAGACAGCTTTCAACATAGTGGGACCCACGGCCCTGATTTGGACACTGTACCTGGGATTGCAAAGACTGAATACAAATACTGACAGCATTGTTGGTTATACCTGACATAGCCACAGAAGTCTGGGATCAGGAATCTTTGCCAATTTCTTCTACCTGGCTAAAAAAAAAAGCCAGACATCTACTCAAATACAGAAGTCAATGTGGAACCCAGCTTTAGCTATCCCTGTGACTGATATAGAGATCTGAGTGCTAAAGAATGTAGTCTATGAAGGCCAGCACTTACTAAGAATAGGGATGAGACAATAGAAAATGTTAAGGCTAAAATCCCAGTCATTTTTGGCTAACTGTACCCCTATCCCAGATGCTTACATCACTTTGTTGTCATAGAATGGTTGCTGGTGCATCCCATACCTGTTTTTCTGCAGTGCCTGAGAAGCATTTCAAGCTCATCCACTTATGCATCAGACTTAGGTTCAATTTCTTGTTCAGGCCTGAGGAAAATTGAACCTCTGCCTTTTAGCAGCCAGCTGGAAGTGCACAACTAATGTTAAAGTGCTAATATATTGAATAATGAAGTGACTGGAACTTTGATCTTTCCTATTCCAAATGAATGATCTGGTCATCAGATAATATAATCAGCACTACACTTATGCCTTCACTTTTACCCACAAAAGTTTAATTATCACAGAATGAGACTGTGACCCTAGCTTAGAATAATCCAATCTGTTAAGATAGAATTAGGGGGAATATACTCAAGTTGCACCAGGGAAGGTGGATATTAGGAAAATCAGCCCCTGACTAAATTGACAATCACACCCCAGAGTAATTTGGAAGAGTGATAATTGGTCTGGGTCAAAAACTAATGGGGGTCATTCTAGCATTTTAACAAAAGAGAGAACAGTCACCGTGCTCAGCCTTGTGCCCTTGCATTCTCAACAGCTTGCAATACTACTGATGAAGTCAATGGTGTGAGTATTTAAAGTGGATATTTCTGTGATTCTTAGCTGATGGCAACTTCAGGGTGAAGTAAATAGCAGAGGAAAATTTTTGTTGATGTCGATTTTGGTCCTTAGTCTGCAAGATGGCTTGAGACAGCTATTAGACTGCTATGTATTTTAGAATATAGCAGGTTGGATAAAATGACTTTCAGTATGAGTACAAGGATCAGTGTGGCCTTCAGTGACAGCAGTGAAATAGCCAATAACTTTCCAGCTAGTTTTGATCAAAGAGCATTTAAGTAGCTTATGCCATCTAAGTTGACGCCTCAGGGACATTGCAACTCTCATATGCCTGGCTGAAATACAGTTGTCTCCTTGTTTTCCACTTGTAATGTGAGGCAGTCTGTCTCTTTCTTCCTTTTTGTTGCTACTCTATGCAAGCATCTACTCTGGTCAGTGCATGGTCAGAGGCAAAACTGCACCTAATTACTTGCTTCTCCTTCAGCATCTTACAATGAGAAGAAAACGAAAACTGCATCTTCTGCTAAATTTAGCCTTTCCATGCTCACAAGGCGAGAGAAAGTGAATGTAAGAATGATGCATCCCTAAATCTCCACGACTTAGGGATTTTTTTGTATGTAGTGATTGCTGTTTTATACTTGGTAAAACAATTTACTTTGAAATAGCTTCTCAAAGAAGTCAGATTTACAATGCGGGTGAGATTTTCTGCGTACACAACTTTTTTTTTCCATTTTGTAATAAAGCAAAAAATGCCTGTCTGTCTCTGATGGGTAACTGAACTAAGAGAGTAAAATAAAATGGAAATGTAAGCTTTCTGTAAATAAAACAAAAGCAATCTGAATTTTTCCTTATTTTCACTGAAATTTTCCCCAGAAATTGTCTTCCTTCCTAGTCTCCTTCTGCTTTCCCAAACTGTGACCACCTACCCAAGCAAGTTGAGAGAACAACATGTATTTGAGGAAAACGAAATCACAGAAATGACTGCAGTGCCTAGTAATTGTTATTCTTGCCTTCACCTTACCTTCTCAAAATACCTCCTAAGAGGGAAGCGTTGAGGCATTCTGGCGGTGAAAGGCGTCTCTTCACCTCTGCAATGGTCACTTTGTACTTTGAAGTGGAGCTGAGTAGCGACAAGCGACCAGGTACAGAGCAGAACAGGTCGGTGGGGTTAACAACGCAGGTACCACCTGTAGTGCAAATGAACTGTTAGAGTGAGGAAATCTTCAAATTCCCTGTTTTGACAGATTCCATCTGCGAATCAATGGCATAGTGTGCTGTTGCTTTCAATATTGCATCATTTGCTTTGGGAAAGATGAATGATTACCTATTTCAGCGCAGAAAAAGCAAACTATTGGATCTCTTTAAGTTTTACATACAAAGTAGGTCATTATGGCTACTCCATCAGATTTCATGCTCGACAAAAATTACACAATGTCATTGAAAGACTGGTATGTATGTCTGGTATGGTAAAAACATATGATTGAACAAGATTTGGGTGTCACTCATGATTAAAAAAATGCAAATGGTTAAAAAATTTGAACATTGGTTCCAGTGAGAAACAATTGTTTTGACTCTTATAGAGGTGTTTAGGACCACAGGGGTGCAAAGACACTGTAAGCTTGCAGCAATTTGAAGACAGAACAGCTTTCTATGCCTTTTAACTCTCACATAGTCCTGAAGTCAGGCCAAATCCTCAAATATTGTTAATGATTGAAATCTATTGAGCTCCATCACTTTATCTCAGATTAGTTCTGGAGCAGTTTACCTTTTGAAAGCGGCAATTACTTGGACTGGGTCTAAAACTGCTGAATGATCACCAAATCTGTCAGTGAAAAATGTGATCCATCACTCCTCGGGTAAAATGGATCTTTTAAGTCAAAGCTGATTTCTGAGACAATGAAAGAAAAAAAAAAAAAAAAACTTTTTCTGGATCTGATCCAAGAGGACAAAGCAAAAATCTTAAGGACTAGCAAATATTTTATCACCAAGTGCAAAATGCTCTTCTTTAAACTGCCTTCTCCATCCTGACTAAAAAAAAAATCTGTGGAAGAAATAAATCTTACCACTGCATGCACATCTTTCCGTGTGGGAAAGATGAGAAAAAAGAACCAGATGCATGTAACAGTGATATAAAATATTTTTAGTTCAATGCACTACTGCAAGGAGTTCAGGTGTCCTGTGCATATAAAGACCTTCTTAGGACAGGACTGTGTGCACATTCATTCATTTTATAAAAAAGTCAGTGTTTTAAAAAATACCATTATAATTCAATTTTTTTTTTTTTTCTGT